ATTGTTCTGATGAGCTTTCCTCTTTGGTACCTTGACTTTATGAATTGAAGTATAGTACTAGATTGGCAGTTAGGTCTCATCATTTTACAGTTGAAGTTGCTACATATATTGTCAGTTGTTTGAATTTTTTAATTTCTTCTGAAGTGGAAATCACAACAAAATATTGAGAATGATGAAAATGTTTAAACTTTGTGAAAACAATATTTATAAACATTATAATAAGGTAATTAAATAAAACAATTTGGAATCACTCTAGAAAGGACCATATTCAAAACTTTTGGAACCCACTTTGTATACAGGGTGGGTCGAAAGTTATATAATTATATTATTTTAATAACATCTTCCCTGTGTCTTTTCTATAAATATTTTCATGGTAATTGTTCTGATGAGCTTCTTTTTCGAACCTAGTCTTTATGAATTTAAGCATAGATTGGCTGCTGGGTCTCATCATTATACAGTTGAAATAGCAAAGTAACTGTAAGTTCTATGCTAACAGTTTCTTCGCTCACATTTCTTGCTTATGGAACTCTCTTCTGCCTTCTTGCTTTCAAGTCAACTTTGATCTTCAAAAATTTAAATGCAGTGTCAATCATTGTGTTCTGTATTAATTCCTGTTCTTTTGAACATACCTTGTATGCAGGGTGGGGTTAAAAGTTACATAACAATTATATTATTTTAATAATATATCTTCCCTGAGCCTTTTCTATAAATATTTTTACAGTAATTGTTCTGATGAGGTTTCCTCTTTGGAACTTACGAATTTAAGCATAGTACTAGATTGGCAGCTAGGTCTCATCATTTTACGGTTGAAATGGCTAAGTGCAACCATAAGTTCTATGCTAATGGTTTCTTCTATTGCACTTTTCACTTGTGGAAATAGCTTCTGGCCTCTCGTTTTCCAATCAACTTTGCATTTAAATTTTTGAGGATCAATATTACTCATTTTCTCCTGTCTTAGTTCTTCTTTTAGTGTTCTCTTTCCTTAATAATGTTTTTTTTCTCATACTATCTAAGACTCAGTAACACCTTTCATCTTAGTGGCTTTATTGCCTTTCTTGAAGTGAAATGATTAAAAAAATAAATTTTTTTTTTTTTTTTTTTTTTTTTCTCCTCCTTAAGGTGTTTTGTCAGTAAACTATAGTAGAAATTGAAAATAATTCTTTTAAAGAAAAAATATGTAAGGGTTATAGTTCAGCATTTTCAATTGTCTCTGTTCATTGATGACTGTAAATTGATCTGAGTAATTGCTACGAAAATTAGCTAATATTAAGATGAAAGAAATACTAGTCAAAAGTTAATTGTTGATAATGCTTTATTTTATAAAAAACAATATTACTATAAGTTTATTAATGAACATGAACTGACAATTTGAGTCTGAGTTGCAATGAAAATCAATTAAGTGAGATGAAAGAAATACTAGTCAAATTTAATAATGGTTGATAATGCACAGTATTTACATTAGTCGGACTATTGTCCTCATCTTTGTCGCCATATTTGTCACAACGTTTCGGCCGTTTATGCACGCTCCGGCCTTCTTCAGGTGGTTGGAATTTGAACTGAACCCTTTATTTCGATCGCTGGGGTAGACTGTTCTAATTCCACGTGCCATGTTTGATGGATGTCAGTTATCTCCTGCTAATTTTCCCTCTGAAAGTTCTCCACTGCCTTAACCAGGAATTGAACTCACCTTCTTTGGGTCTGTCACTGGATCTAACCGACGCCTTTATCCACTGTGCCATGTGTCCTTGGGTATGAACTTCTGAGTATTATAAACCTAATGTTTTCAGCATCATTTTTACCAGTGCTCATATTGCAATTTTTGCTGTTATCATTGCATGTCTTTACCAGAGTTCATATTGCAACTTTGTTATCATTGCTTTTCTCTGGCACTCCTTATTACTGGTTCCCATATTGTATTTATTTCTATGCTTGGTCGGCTCAGGAGATTTTTGTGGCCTAGCATATGTGCTGATTCCTTAAGTTTTATTTAATTTTCCAATGGTGTTCCCTGTCTATGATCTCAACATGATCCCACAGGGGTGGTGATCTCCTTCTCTCTCCATATGTGGTCAGCCACGCCTGATTTTTCTACTTCCCCTCGCTTTCTGGTGTTCTTGAAGCCTTACCTTGAGGGGTTGATAATGCGTAATAAAATTATTATAAGGTTCCAATTAACCAAAATTTTTTTAATGTTTGTATTTTTTGTAATCAACACTTTGTACTTGCACACAAATTTATGCATACCTCCAGTTGTCTCCTAAATATATACCTTTAGCCACATTGCAACTTTGTCAGGTAATGTTTGAAAAATGTAATTTATCTTAAGTTCTATGAACTATTGACTCACGGTGAACAGTTAACACTTGCAAACAGGATGACCTAATACTTAAATGCTAAAGAACGTTTTTGTGTTTTTCAAGACAAAGCCAAAATCAAATGAGAAAGAACGTTCCAGTTTTGTGAACCAATAATGTTTTTCAAGACAAAGCCAAAATCAAATGAGAAATAATGTGTTCCATTGAAGACATGAACCAATAATGTGTTCCAGTTCCATTGAAGACATGAACCAATAATGTGTTCCAGTTCCATTGAAGACATGAACCAATAATGTGTTTTATTTGAACCAATAATTGATAGTTCCATTGAAGACTTAGTTTTCAAGTTCTCATGCCCATTAGTTGAACCTTGTTCCAGTTCATTGAAGACCTTCATTTTTCTAATTATGGAGAAATAAAGATTGTAGTTCCATTGAAGACATGAACCAATAATGTGTTCCAGTTCCATTGAAGACATGAACCAATAATGTTTTATATTTTTGTTTTGTTCATGTGCATTGTTTCTTTTTGACAACTGCACAGTATAGTTGGGTCAATTGGGCACCGTCTGCAATAAAAAGAGCACCATGACACAATCCACTCCATTAGAAACTTGAAAATGACATGCTGTACTGCTTGACATTCACACCAAAAACTCCAATACAAATATTTCAGTGTGGGTGCAGAGGATTCAGAAAGAGTTGGATGATATATCCAGTGAACATTATAGTGTTTGCAGTGATCACTAGTGAAGTCGACATTATGCCTCCATTCATCTTCCCATAGGGCCTCAGACTCGACACGGATGCCTACATCAAGTGCCTTGAAGAGATAGTGCTGCTCTGTCAAGAGGGTGGCTGCTAGAAGACTCTGGCAACAGGACTCTGCATCATGCCATACAAGCAGGAGAACACAATCATGGCTGTCAGACAATTTCTGCAACCACATCACCCCTTACATCTGGCTACCTAACTCCCCAGATTGTGTGGGACACAGTTGAGTGAGAGAAAAACAAAACTCCTTGTAACACCAAAGAATTATGGTAGCATTTACCAACTTAAACAAGGAGACTGTCCAGAAGATTTGCAGGAAATCTGAAGTCATCTGGAGTCTGTAGCTGAAGCCAATTGTGATTTTATTGAATAAATTTATTCCTTAGTATTTCAAGATATTTTTGTATAATTATGGTAAATATATCTGTCAAAATGATCTGTCGGTGTTATTTTCTTGTCTGGGAAGACATTCACAGTTGGTATTAAACTGCAATTTTTCATGTGGTCTTCAGTAACTGCAAATCTGGCATGAGATAGAACAAAATTCCTGCAGAAGTTACATTCAGACTGAATATATTCTTGTACTGAGTCTACATTACCTTTCCTAGCAGCCCTTTTTGATTTCAAATGCTCAACCCTTTTGAGTTCAAAACAATTATACACACCAAAAACTAAATTTTCCAAGCAAACCTATTTTCTGCTTCTTTTTCCTCAGACTTTGGCACTAATTTCAAGATTTTTTTTGTTTATAGATGATTCTTGGGTTTGTGTCTGGGGTGCTTATCATATATACTAGCAGTAGAGCCCGGCGTTGCCTAGGGATGTAACAGTAAGAGATAGATCAAATACCAACCATCATAAAGACTGAAAAATAAAATTGACAAAGATTATTGTTTAAGGTTGACGAACACGTCTTAATTAGTTTTAGTTTTATTTTTTTTTTATTTTTTTTTTTATTTTTTTTTTTTACGAATTGGTCAAACTCAAACAAAAACATTGTTTTCAATCGTTATGAGTCTACCGATTGAATAGAATTTTACTATAAACAATTGTCTTGTAAATGAATTTTTAAAGCATTCTGAATGTAAAAATAAAGAAAGTGTGCAAGACAATAAGAAACACTACCTGCCCAAAAAAAAAGTGAAGTTTTGTTGAAATCAGTTGAAAAATGTAGGAAATCCGATCCAATATATAAATGAACACGCACACACACACACACAACCTGGGTTTTATGATAAGTATAAATCGATATGAGTTGTCTCCTTTTCATTCTCACGACAGCAATGCCTCTTATGTTTTCAAATTGATTTCATGCAAAAACAATTGTTTTTCCAATTTTTGGCGCTGTCAGAACCACCGCAAGGTAATTTTACGTAGTCCTGTGAAGTTTTGTTGAAAAATGTAGGAAATCCGACCCAATATATAAACGTACACACACACACACACAACCTGGGTTTTATAATAAGTATTTCATTTACTGGAAGCGGCAGAATGTAAATGATTATAAAGAAAATGTATTATTTGCTTCTGCAAGGAAATTAATTATTCTTAAAGACAGACAAGCATTATGATAGAAGTAATCACTTGGGTGGTTTCATTGTTATGTTTTAGAAAGAATTTGTCGAATTTAATCGTATGCTTCTGTTTGGTGGTCTTGTCAAGGCATTGTTAGAATTGGAAGATATTAAAATTTGTCAGATTTTGTCTTCTGCATTCCTCTATATGTTGGCTAAGGGGTATTTTTTTCTGGTGTGGGAATCCCTAATTTGTTGGCGATGAATTGTTATCATTTACTGGAGTGTCTGGCTGGTTTGGCCAATGTAATGTTCATGGCAACCTTTGCATGTTATGTATATGAAATTCATGGCCTTCTAATAGGTAGCTTTATAACTATCATTAATGCTTCTGGGCTTATGGCTATATCACATTGAAACACTGGTTCCCATACAATCACCAAAGTTAAGCAACATCAAGCCTGGTCAGTACTTAGATGGGTTACCTTTTGAGAACAGCAGATGCTGTAAGCATGGATGTGCAGGTGGTTTAATGGATAATGACTTAGAATTGTCAATTGGAGAGCCAAGTTCCAATTCCACTTGGGTTTATTATATTCACTTACATGCAAAAATACCCTTGGAAAGGTAATGAATCTCTCTTCTCCCCCCTAGCTATGGGTTAATTAACCAAACTTGTATCACTAAACCATTATCTAAAAAAAAAAAATTCTTACAATGTAAAAATATTTTCTGGCTTTAAATAACCTGCAAATCAACCATATTAACATTTCCAAAAAAAGGTTTTTGTGTCATGCAATCAGTCAGTATCATGCATGATACACACTTAGGCAAACATATATCTTTCAATACATGACTGACGAGGCAGTCCCCCCCCCTCACAGTAGGTTGCCATTTTTTTTCTGCGGTAGACCAATTGCCATCCAAGGCTATAGAACCTGGTCTCTCCTGCTATTTACCCATAGCTGGTGGGAGAAGAGGATTCATACCTTTCCCAAAGGTATTAGCATGTAAGTGAATTTAATAGATAAGACTGGAATTCAAACTTGGCTCTCGGATTTCTCAATCTGAGTTGCTATCCATTACTCCATCATGCCTCCAATGTCATGCAATACAAAAGCTAAAAATAAAAAAGCCTCAGCCCAAAAAATATACTTGCTATCCTGAATTGGTAAATATGCAGCTGTATATAAGAAATAAGCAAAACCATATTATCAAAACACTGCTGCTGTGGAAAGTTGTAAACAACATGTGGCATTACCATTGTAGCCACTCAATGGACTAATGGTAGCCGATTCCAAAACGTGCTGGACCATGGGAGTTGCTGAACCACTGATTAAAAATGTCAGACCATATAATGTGCATGCAGGTTTTCAGACTTTTAAAAGTTAAGCAATCAACTAACAGAACAGATATTTGAACCAGCACACATGCTAGGCTCTAATAAGCTTAGTAAGTGAAGCATAGAAATGAACTCCATATGGGATTCTTTAAATAAGATCAGGTGTAAGACTCTAACTTCCACTATCATTTAATCTAAGTTGAAGATGTAAACAAATGATATTAGATTTAAAGTACCAAGTTTACACAGATAAACTATCCTGCAAAAGACATGGCCCAGTTAATCAAGTGAATCTAGTTGTTGTGAGTAATCACTAGTTTAGATAAAAAGTTATATATGCTGGTTCATTGGAAGAGACATCACATGAACGAAATAACTATTACAAATTGATACGTCCTCTACAATCAATCGACAGCAGAACAAGAACAATCTACCGATGTCGTTTGAAATTCTACAAAGGTTACAAATGTCAACACACCAGAAGAAAGACTGCAGTAGCTGAAACATTGTGATAGTAGCAATCAACATGAGGATATTAGTCTTAGTAAATTAACTAGCATGCAAAAAAATCAATAGCTGCATTCGTCACAAGTGGGGAAAAATTTAAATCTGCATGGCACTTTACTCCAATTGGCTCATTCGCTTGCTTAAACTCAACGTTGATTCTGTTTCTGCAGAATTAGGTTGGGTGTGAAAAAGTATTTAACATTCTTTTTTTTCATTCGGTTTTTCCAGTTACAAGTCCTTTTTTAAAGCTGATCGTTTTGTGTTCATTTTGTTCTTTTTTCGTAACAGATTTAATGTTTAGTATAGAGCTTAGAAAAAATTTGCAGTGTGAGATAGGCAAGAAGTGAAGTAAGGCATGTAGCAACATCAGCACGGCAAAGGGCACTCATTTAAAGGCAAGGAAGGGTAAAAATATTTTAAGTGATAGCGATTGCTGTTTTTTACAATTTTTTAATCAAGCACGGGCAATGCTGCTAGTATGTGTGTGTATATATATATATATATATATATATATATATATATTAGTTTTAAAAAAAATTTTGGAGATCAGCTGATTCTGCTACTTTGGTATCTTCTGGTGATTCTGGCCAATTGATTTCCTGACGCTTTTTTCAGAAAAATTAATGAACACCTTATTTAAAAATAAATAAACGCACAACATTAAGTGTGATAGATGGAGATAGGGGTGAAGAAAAGCAAGGATATTGGAAATGTATAGGTGGGTGGTTAAATGAAATTTACGTATTTTTCTTTTCATCATGGTTCATACAAACTCAAAAGGAAATTTTTAATGTGTATGCCACGAGTCATAATTTCTGATCTCTTATTCAAAAGGTTTTATTGGTCTGGAAATGTTATTGCTGACTTACCTTGTTGACAAAGGTTGCAGATATTACTATGATTGTAAGGTTTGGCTTTTTTTTTTTTTTTTTTTTTTTTTTTTTTTTTTTCAGTTTATAATTGGATCTAATATATAAGTTTATATTTAATGTTTTTATTTTTTTTATAACAATGTTGAGTCAGTAGCATTTATAATTTGTTGTCATATCAAGCTATTATATCTTTTGCTGGATGTTATCTCTATGTTGTCAGCCATTATGTTTAGAGAGTTACTACACCTTTGGGTGATGCAATTCCTTGTGTCCAAATTGTTTGTACTTACAATATATTAAAAGAAATATTTGAATCTGCTAGCAAAGATTGTTTGTGGTACACTGAACTGTTGACTTTGTCCTGTTTTCTATGCTAAATTCATCCCAATGGTATAGTTGTCATTGACAACCTTGCAGAAACTCTTCCAACATATGGCACACAATATACAATGTCACTCTCATTCTGGAAGTGCACAGTTAACAGCATAAAAATTAGAATTGGTGAGAAGAGTTCAACACCCAGATGAGACAGTTTGTTTTTTCAATCTTTAATGATGCCATTGGAAAAGGCATGAATCCATCCCTCTTTTCATGAGCTAAAATAGCAGAGCAGATTTGTTGCCATACCAAGGCTAGAGAGCCCAGTCTGGTAGAACAACTCTGAATTCAAAACAAAGATTGAAGTTCTAAGATTTATCATTTTCAACTTTCTTCTAACAGTTTGTGTAGTGATACCGATGTCAATAGATATCTGCTCCCAAGGTGCATAGCTGAAAGTGGATCAGGTGAAGCTTTCATTGCCCTTGCAATGCAAGTGGATTAAAAATTGCTTAAATACAAAGAATTTCCCCACAAGTTTGTTTTTTTGTTTTTTGTGTGTTTTTTTTTTTTTTTGTTTTTTTTTGTGTGTGTGTTTTTTTTTTTGTGTTTTTTTTTTTTTTTGTGTGTTTTTTTTTGTGTGTGTTTTTTTTTTTGTGTGTTTTTTTTTTTTTTTTGTGTGTGTTTTTTTTTTGTGTGTTTTTTTTTGTGTGTGTTTTTTTTTGTGTGTGTTTTTTTTTGTGTGTTTTTTTTTGTTTTTTTTGTTGTTTTTTTTTGTGTTTTTTTTTTTTGTTTTTTTTTTTTTTTTTTTTTTTTTTTGTTTTTTTTTTTTTTTTGTTTTTTTTGTTTGTTTTTTTTTGTTTTTTGTTTGTATTTTTTTGTTTGTTGTTTTTGTTTTTTACTCTATTTCATGCCAAGCAAGGCACTAAAAATCCACTAAAATGCAAGGGGTTACTGGATGTGAGAATTAGAAAACATAAACTGTACTAAAGAGCAAGAACAAAAGAAGAGTAATAATAATTTGTAAAAAAAAAAAAAATCAAACTTTGGTTTGGTTTAACATAACCCATTGGGTCATTTAATGCCCAAATTTTGTTTTCTGAGTAATCTGGACAGTAGAAAGTGATTGACATGCATTTAAATTTTTGAAGATTAAAGTTGGCTGGAAAGCATGGAAACAGAAAAGTTCCATAAGCAAGAAGTGAGAGAAAAACTGTTAGCTTAGAACTTATGGTTAACATCTACCCAACTCAATGGTAAACGGTTGCCAGTCTAGTACTGCACTTAATTTTTTTTTAAATTTAAGTACCATGGCAAAGGGCATATCCAAAAAGTTGTCATGAAAGTATTTATAGAAAAGGTCAATGTTGTTGATTCTTTTTTGGAATTTATCAAATATCTCTCTCTCTCTCTCTCTATATATATATATATATATATATATATATATATATATAGCTGGAACACCTGACCATACGTGACAATATTCTAAACATGAGCAAATGGTAGACTTGTAAATATGCAATAGATTTAGGGGAGAATAATTATCTAGTAGGTGCAGGGAGAAGGAAAGCAAAACCCCTTTCATTTTATTCCCCCACTTTACGAGTATGTGCTGAAAAATTTTCAAAATCATTATTTTAATTTTTTTTTTCCCTGAAGCTTCTTTGTTGGACTAAGAACTTTTCAGCAATCATTTTATATTGAAATACTTACCAAATAAGATTACATTGGAACTACTTCAGATCCATTATAAGACCAAGAGATAAAAATTAACCAAAGTCTATTTTGGTAGGGGTAGGGGCAGTCTTTCTTCAAGGGTACATCATCTCCATTGTAGTTAAATGGGGGAGATCAGGATATATGCCAGAGACTTTAAGAGGAAGATGTCAAGAGAACTGGATAACATCTGGCATCTGCCACATGTATATGTGTAAAACTCCACATGTTGACCTTGTGCCAAACATTTGTGGTGGAGGAGGGTGTGTAAACAATACTTTTCTAAAGTACTATTTTGTCTACTTTACCACTAAACCTGAACATATAACTTAATGGTACGAGTTAAGATTTAACCTCAAATACATTTTTTGTTTTTAGTTTCCTTCTCAGTTTAACAACTAAACTTTCATTAAGCAATTTCTGCCTCAATCCTATAATGATTTTGAAGACCAAAGATTTCTTCTTTTTTTTTTTACAAAAAATAATCATAACTTTAATATCACTGTATATATGTATATTTTTCTATATATGAAAGTACTATGTCAATTCAGAACTTTAGAATTACTTTCTCTCCCACTAGACACATCAAAACAAAAAAGCTGGGATAAAATAAAATGTGAGGCCAATTTTTCTAATTAGAGGCTCTCTCTAGATCAGCATCGCCTTGCCTGTCTACTATCTGCTTCACAACCGAGTAGTGACACCTGGCTCATCGCAGTACCCTCTTCATCTATTGGTACCCTTCTGAATGATGAG